ACAGAGGGGTCACAGGGAAGAGATGAGCCAGTCAGGGTGCACCATAGCACCGATGAAACACACAACTTTCCTCTAGCTCTTTGGTGCTTCCTTCACCCCACTATCACGACCTCAATTATACCTTACAAATCAGATTTGACCAGAGCATGCACACTGCTACAAATAAGAGCCTGCAACACAGGGAATCCAGGATAGATAAACCCCTCAGGGCCAACAATGAGAGTAGAGAAACTAGGAGGATATGGGGAGGGTGGGGGGAGAAAGGGGGAATAGATCATAAGGATCAATCTAGAACCCCCTCCCAGGGGGATGAATAACGGAAAAGTGGGTGAGGGGCGACGGAGGACGATGTAAGATATGGAAATAATAATCTATAACTTATCAAGGGTTCGAGAGAGAGAGGGTAGGGGAAGAAATGGGGAGCTGATATCAGGGGCTCAACTGGGAAAAGAATGCTTTGAAAATTATGACGGTGACATATATGCAAAGTACTTGACACACTGGATGAATGTATGGATTGTGATAAGAGATGTAAAAGCCCCTAATAAAAGTATTTAAAAAGAAAAAAAAAAGCTCCGAGAGAAAGTTTCCTTTCAACTTTGGTTGATAAAGAACCATTTCCTGGTTGAGGTTTCAGAGTTTTAAAATGAATGGCTAAGGAGGTCCGGCTGAAAACTGCAATCGGAAGTCGCAAAATGCCAGAATTTCAACCTTAACTAAAATTACCCAACAAAGAGAATCAAAACCAAATCCACTGTCATCGAGTCACTCATAGTGGTCCTATAGGACAGAGTAGAATCATCTCATGTGGAGTTCTGGGACTATAGCTCTTTACTGGAGTCAAAAGCCTCCTCTCCCACTGAGCAGATGGTGGTTTTGAACTGCTGACCTTGTGGTTAGCAGCCCAACAAGTAACCCATTATGCCACCAGGGAAGTACCCCTTAAAAACACCAGTGGACATAATCACACAAATCCAGAATGAGGGACATTCTCTAATTCGGCTGGTCTCTTAGAGAAGTCCATTAAAAGAGCGAGATAGGGTAGGAAAACTATTTGGGAGTAAAAGAGATCACAGAGACATAGAAGCAAATACAATGCATGACCTTGAGTAGATTGTGATTTGGGAAGGTGAGGGGAAAGCAGTGAAAACAAATGGAGTTAAGTAGGTAGGTTTTAATGTGTATAGGATACTGGGTTATGTTAGGGAATTATGGTCAAGTCTAATAATGATATTGTGTTTATGTAGGGGAATACCCTTATTATTATTCAGAAATGCGTGTTTAAATATCAAGGGGCTAAAGCACAACTTACTTTCAAATGGTTCATTACCAAGCAGGGAGTGGGTCTTAGGAAGCACTGATTTCATCCCCATTTCTCTTGTTGTACAACATGTAAACAAACCAATGTTTTTAAACAATGTGATAAACAGCTATATACCTGTCACCCTAGACTCGGTAACTGTTAGCTGTATTTAAACCAGCCCTCCAGACAGCCATCTCTTGCTGTCAGGAACGTGTTTTTAAAGAGAATTGATTCAATAGTTTTATAAGGCAACAGTAACTACAGAGAAATCCCTAACATTTTCTTTCTTCTTCTTTCTTTTAAATCTTTTTATTGAGGGCTCTTACAGCTCTTCTATCAACCAACATTTTCAATACAGGAATCACATCAAAACAGAGTGTAAAGCGTTTGGCACGTGTTCCAACAATTTATAAATATGTCTAGTTTCTCAAAAGCTTATCCGTATTTCCAATAATCAGTTTTGAAAACATAAGCCCTACCTTTCCACGTTGAATAAGCATGCCCATTAGCAATGATCCCTTCAATGAAAGAAATGATCTGAGGAATGTTTTCGGTTACCCTGAAGTATACTGTAGGTGGGAGGACCTGAAAGAAAGGGGGGAAATGACCGTGTCCATAGCTGAAAAGCAAATTTTTCTTCTTAGTCGTCAAGCTTTTTAATCCTTGTGATGGGAAAATCAACAACCAAACTTACCTTCAAGGCTGCCATATCTTGTTTAAAATCTTCTTCATAAAAACTGGCCAGAGAAGTGGGTGATATATTCATCTGAAAAAGAATTAGACAAGCCCATCAAGAAATCTGTAGCATTTACAACGGAACCATACAGATGCAGGCCTTGCCATTTTGCATGGTGCACAAAGCAAACTCATCTCTTCCCTTCCTTGGGGTGGACAGGAGAGGCCGGGCCAGGTCGTCCTACTGTGTGGCTTAGCTTCATTTTGGCACCGTCACCCACAGTGGGGTAGGGGAAGCATTTCATTCTCATTAGGAAACTAAGGACAATAACTAAGCTAGTCAAAAACGGTTTATTGACTGTTTTCTGGTTGGAGAGAAAAATGGAATATGTGTCAAGATTTCTGCCATGCAATAGCAAACAAGCCAAATCGAAAAACTCACCAACCAACCAAAGAATTTTCTGCCTTACTAAAACCAGGGTAAAATCAATCTATTCTACATAATCACAAGAAACTCGTATTCCTATTCAACCCACTAATCCCTCAAGAGACAAAAAAACAAGTCAAAAAGACAACAAAGAGGCAGCCCCTAAAGAAACATTTTGAAACCAACCTAACCTATTAAAATATGGGGTTTTTTAATGGGGGGGCTAAGTCCCTTGGGTACCATGAATGGGCTTCTGGGGGTCAGTAAAAGCACAGAACAGCATGCTCAATTCTGAATGTGCATGCCATTTATGGGGCATGTACATGGGACCTCTGTCAGATGCTCATAGAAGTCTGTGGTGCCTAACGAGACCTATTCAGTATTATTGTGACTTTTTCAATGGAAATAACTCTATAAAAAGAAGTAGACAAACTATAATGTTTACACGCAATCCATGAGCTACACAAGCTCATGAACATGTATAAGCATCTACAATGTGCCAGACACGTATTTTACCTGGTCTTCACACAACCCTGCGCAATAGAAAGCCCTACTGCATGAATAAAGACACTTAAGATTCTTAAATAACCTACTCCATCTAAATTCCACATGTGGATCCAGGACACCAACTGAGTCACTGTGAAGCACATAGCCTTCCGGCCTTGGGTTTTAAAATGGCAAAATCATAATTTTCACAGTCACCATGCTTCCTAAGCCCATGACTCATGTGTATTTGCTGAAGAAATAAATCTTGTGAACAAAATTTTGCCACCACAGTGACTGTTTCAGCTTAGAGGCCTTGAACGAGTCAGTAGACGGCTCACTCAGCCTTCAGTTTTCTTTGTAACAAGGGGACAAAATCATCTAACATTCCCTAAGATTGCTATGAGGATTCAGTGTGGTAGACAGGTAAGACAAGGTTATAAATGGAAAATATTAATATCACTGCGGTGAAATGAAATTACTTGCTATGGTCCCACCAAACGACTGGGTGAGATTTTGCAAATAAGGAATAGAAGAAACCAACTCAAGGATTGGTCAGTTTTGCCGTTCCACCAGGTATAAATTGAACCATTTCAGAAGTAGGAACAAGGAAAAGTATACAACCATCAAGAAAAAGAGCATGTAAGATTCCTGCCTTAGGAGGTGGAGGCAGTAGAGGCTACAGCACCAAGACCAGGACACAAAGCAGAGGAGCTGTGCACAGCCCTCGAGGCAGAGGGACAGGTTTCATGGCCCAAACAAGGCAGAGGTCAAGAGGTCTTGTGCCTTAAGAGGCCGAGGACCAGAAAGTCATGGCTCCTAGAAAGGCTAAGAAAAGATGCTGCTGTGGACCTGTGACTCAGTGTGACTCTTGCCATTTCTTAAGTTCCAAATACTATGCAATTTTCAGTCTACAAACTACCAAGCTGCTTTTAAATATTTACCTCGCATTTCAGCTTTCTGCATAGGTAATCTGTTCTCAGTGTGCGGAACCCAGGCTCCCTTTCTGAAGGCAAATACTGTTGCTAGCCACTAATATGTTCATGTATATTCGTATCCTTTTCATGAAATCCCCAAATGTAGGACATTACACAGTACAGTGGGCTCCATCTAGTATTATTCCAGGTCTTCCTGTGATGGTCTGTACTGAGCTACCACATTCTTTCAGTGGCTATATTGTATTTTACAGGTAGCATGACTATTTAATTTGTCCTTTAGTGGTTAAAAGCTACATATTGCAATCACTGACTATTATAAACACTACTGTGTACACATCCTTTTGCACAGGTCAAAGCGTACTGCTTGGCTGTGATGGTTAATTTTATATATCAACAAATTTATTGTAGATGTTGGTAGGTGCCCACGAGTCGGTTCTGAGTCACAGTGACCCAACAGAACAAACACTGCCCAGATCAGTACCATCCTCACAATTATGTCTGAGCCCATTGTTGCAGCCACTGTGTCAATCCACCTCCCTGAGCGTCGTCTTCTTTTTCTCTGAGCCATGATTTTAACATGTATGATGTCCTTTTCCAGGGACTGGCCCCTTCCAGTCACGTGTCCAAAGTACCTGAGATGAAATAAGGCCATCCTCTCTTCTACGGAGCATTATGGCTATACTTCTTCCAAGCAGATTTGTTTTGTGCTTGTGGAAATTCAGTCCTGTCAACATTCTTCAATGGCACTGTAATTCAACTGCATCCATTGCTCTCCAGTCTTCCTTACTCTTAGTTGAGCTTTCACATACATGAGGTGACTGAAAACACCATGGCTTGGGTTTGGTGTACTTTAGTCTTCAAGTAACAGCTTTGTTTTTGTTTTGTTACCTTTTAAAAAGGTACTTTTCGGCGGATTTACCCAGTGTAAATATCCTTTGGTTTCTGGCCTGCTAGTTCTATAAATTGTGGATCTAAGTAAAATGACACTCTTAACAACTTCATTGTTTCCCCCATTTACCATGATGTTGTCTACTGGGCCAGTTGTGAGAATTTGGGTGTGTGTGTTCCGGGGTGGTTGTGTTTTTTTCAAACAGTGAGTTTTAATCCAAACTGGAGGCTGCTGCCCTCGATTGTCATCAACAAATGCACCGAGCCCTCAATATTCAGCAAGCAAGGCTGTGGCCCTTGCACATCACAGGTTGCTGAGGAGCCTTTGTCTAATTCTGAGACCACATTTTATATCGTCCTGTTTCTTGGATTCTTTGCTCGGCATACATACTGAGTAAGAAGGCTGAAAGAAGCAGTACTACGGCACCCTCTCCTGCCTTTAAACCACTCAGGAATGACTTGTTTGGTTCTTGCAACTGCTTCTTGGTTCATGTACAGGTTCAGCATTAGCACAATGAAGTATTCTGGAATTCCCATTTTCAAAGTTATCCATACTTTGTTAGGATACACGCTGTCAAATGCCTTTGCATAGTTGATAAAACGCAAGTAAACACCTTTCTGGTATACTCTACTTCCAGCCAATATCCATCTGACGTCAGCAATGACAACCCTTGTTCCATGACCTTTTCTGATTTTAGCTTGAATTTCTGGCAGCTCTGTGTCAATGTGCTGCTGTGATCAGTTGTGAATTGTCGTTACCAAAGTTTTACTTGTGTGTGATGTTAATTATTTCGTTTGGTAATTTTTGTATTCTGTTGGGTTGCTTTTCTCTGAAATCCATATATGGATTTCCCCCCAGCAGTTTGGACAGGTGGCTATCTCCAATATTTCTTGGGGAAGAGCAGTGAGTACTACTTCCAGCACTGCATCAGTTCGTTGAAACATCTCAGTTGGTAGTCTGTCAATTCCTCAAATCTTTTTTTTTTTTCCGAGTGAAAGAGATTTATTACTAACCAAGGCTTAAGTATCTTTTGGGGTGTGCAAGTCCCCTGACTACAGGTAAAGACATCCGTCACAGGAAGGGGTTGTACTATAGGCATACACATCACAGAAAGGGGATGAGCTAGGGGTGCACATGCTATAGTAAGAGGAGGGACTAGAGGGATACATGGAACAAGAAGGGCAGACCCTAGACTCAATAGGGCAGCCTAACCTTGGTCATCCTTGAGTGGGCTTGACCTCCCTGGGCTCTCCTTCAGGGAAACAATTTACTACCTGTTTCCCCAAAAATAAGATAGTGTCTTATATTAATTTTTGCTCCCAAAGATGCGCTAGATCTTATTTTCAGGGGATATCATATTTTCCCACGAAGAAGAATACGATATTCATTTACTGTTTATTGTTTTATTAAATGAGACCTCGCACTTCCTGTCTGCTCCGGCTGCACTGCAGCCAACAGTGAGCTGCGTGGTGGTTTCCGCCACTACGGTCCAGTCCAGAGTTACAGAGCGGATGTGAGTTCACTTGCCACTTCTGCACAAAATGTTCAGTTTTGATGGACTCTTGTTGTGCTTCCCCCAGCGACAGCAGCAGTGGTGGCAATTGCTATACGTCCAATTATAGCTGCGAACACCATTCCCTCGAATGGCGAGGTCTTTTTAGCATCTCCGACATCACTTGCATCATGGAGGACGATTCTGGACTGCTCTCCCATCTGCACGTCATCTCCACTGGGATCCACACCCCTATCCTGCTCTTTAGGATGAGGATGCTGTCTTTAGAGAGGTTTATAAGCAGAGCATGGTTAATGTAAGTGAACAATTTGCAATTATGGCAAGTGGCACTGCGAGCAGTTTCATTTATGATATTTCTTACAGCAAGCACATAAGGCAGCCTTACACATGAGACTGTGTATCGAGTCTCATTCTTGTGAAAAGCCTAAGCATAGCCCGATTGACCTGTGCCAGTAAGGCTTCCCATATAACCTGCTGCAGTTTAGTGCAAGAGGTAACTTCCACAGGTGCCACTGCTCAGGTCCTGTCTCAGGCTTCAGTAACCTGGGGCGGGGAGGCGCAACACCTCCTTCATGCCAAGCCATTAACTTTGACCTGGTAGTGGCAATGCCATTAGGGGTCTTTTGCCACTCACAAATACCGACATAATCACATGAAGTGATGTTGGATTCCTCTGAGCAATTAGTTAGAAATATTCCGTGGGGGCCCCCCCAATCAATAATAGTTACCGTGTCATTGCTTAACACCTTTCCATGTGGCCCCTGACATTTGAGCCATTTGAGTCTGTCAGCAACGACCTGCCAGTAACTCATAATTTTACAGGTTTCCATATCTCCTCTGG